TGAGGGAGTATTCTAACTTCACTGATAACACTTATATGTGGAATCTAAAAAAGAGACAGAGGAACTTATTTACAAAACAGAAACAGACTCACATAGAAAACAAACTTATGGTTACCAGAGGGAGAAGGGGATGGGAAAGAATAATTTGGAAATTCAAGATTTGCAGATACTAACTAATATGTATAAAATATGTAAACAACAAGTTCATACTGTATAGCTCAGGGAACTATATTCAATATCTTATAGTAACATATGGTGAAAAAGAATATGAAAACGAATATATGCATGTTCATGTATGACTAAAGCATTATGCTGCACACCAGAAATTGAGACAACATTGTAAACTGACTATACTTCAGTAAAAATATATGTATACCAAAAAAAAAAATGGATGGCAATTTAATGACACTGGCTTCCAAAAAAACTAAGAACAGCCACTAAGTTTGACTTATGCCTGCTTTTAGGAACTTATCAAGTATTTTTTATAGCATTATAAAAGTAGGCTATTTAACTCTAGGTGTTTCCCCCTAATTATTACTATTATTGAGAAGTAGGAGAAGATAATCTAAGGTCTCTTAAAAAGTGAAATTTTACATGTATTCAGAAAAGATTTTTTACAGAATTGTGCTTCCATTCTTATGTTAAGCAGAGTAGGATACAAGCCTTTAAAAAGCAGGTGATGAATGGAACCACTGGAGGCTTTGAGAGTAGCTTTAATTTTAGACTGCAGTCTCAAGTGATGAGAATTTTTTTTATTTTCTGAGTGATTTTCACTCACTTTAAAGGAGACCAAGCTGTTTTCCTTTTACAATAATTTGAAGAAAAGGAAAGTAAGTGTTCACTTGGCCATCTCAGCTGGGGAGTAGGAAGCAATGATAGTTATCCAGCTTTGAACACAATATTGAATGAACTCAGGAAAGAGAATTTTAAAGAACAAAATTTCTCGTTTAAGAAAGGCTCATTATTAGGTAACCAAAGAGGAACAGAGTTTCTTCCTATGCCTAAAAAGAAAATTACTCTTGTTTTTTAAAACTCCTGTAAACCTAATTTTACTTACGTATTTCATAGTGTCGTTTTTAAAATTCCTTGAGAGTCATTAGAGATTAAAGAGTTGCCCTGACTTAGTAGGGGAGATCCCTAATAGATGACTAGTACCCGTGCCTGTTCACCACTAGAAAACGAATTACCTATGTGGAAACCAAGCCTCTAATTTTCCATAAGGTGGGTTTATTCTGCGCTTCACTGGGACAGTTTTGAGCTCCTCTGACCTCAAGTTGGAACAAACCTTATTGTTACCCTTTTTCCCTCAGGGACCCTCACCCAGCCGCATTTACTGAACTCCTGCAGTGTGCTGGGCAGAAGCCACGTGCTGTGGCATCAGGATGGAAAGTGACAACCAGAATCGTCTCCCAAGCTGTTTCTTCTGCCCTCTCTCTCCACTGAACTAAGCCTTTTCAGACATTCAAATACTGCTTTTTCCCCTTAAGGATATGTGTATTCTTTTGTCCCTTTTTACCTGAAAACTCAAATTTAGATAATACTGCTTCTAAGCAGTAAATACTAGAAACACAGTCTGAAATGTAAGTTCCAGAATAACACATATTCCTAACTCTTCCTACATTAGAAAAAAATGATGATGCCTCAGCTTTAGCTGTTGCTATGAGGACACACATCTTGTTGGTGTTTTGTCATATTTCAGCCCATTTTAAAACAGAGGTCAGGCTGGGAGGGGTAAATTAGGAGCTTGGGATTAACAGATACGCACTACTGTATATAAAATAGATGAACAACAAGGACCTACTGTACAGCACAGGGAACTATATTCAGTATCTTGTAACAGCCTAAAATTAAAAAGAATCTGAAAGAAAATACATATGTACATATAACTGAATCACTTTGTTGTACACCTGAATCTAACACAACGTTGGAAGTCAACTATACTTCATTAAAAAAAAAAATAACTGAGGTCAGCTATCCAAATGAAGAGAAGAGGTATTTACCTTTTTCATAACTTTTCCATGTTTAAGATGGCATAAACTTTTTTGAGTAAATGGAATTGTAGCTTCTGGTATGCTTGTCACCAGAAGCTCGTGATGGGCTTGCCTTCCTCTTAAAGCCTGTAAATGAGATGATGAAACTGGTTAAAAGTAAAGAAATCACTTCCCTGCCCAAAACTGATGTCAGTCCTGCAGTGACTTTGATGTCATTGACACCTTTGTCAATTCCTTGCCTACATCAAAAGAATTCTAATAGTGGAAGGACACCCTTCATCTAAGCACAGTAGGAAAAAGGACTGTCTGTTGTGTTGGCAAATGAGAGAGGCGCGCTTCTGCACAGGCTGATTTGCAGGCCCTTCACCCGGTGCTGGTCGTGGCCCTCAGCTCCGTGCCAGGGAAGGATGAACGACAGGGCAGAGCGTATTTCTTTCTAATAAAACGAGTTCTTAATTTGGGAACGTGATGTGGTAGTTTTCTCACAATCTATTGTTGCCAAAATAAATGAACATTTAAAAAATATGTACTGATGTTATGGAAGGAAAGGAACTAAGGGCAAACTGATGTCAGATGTGTTTGAAGATAACAGCAGTTTTGGGTTTTCCTTATTTGTCTGCTGATTAAAAGCACGTTTCCCACGTGCTCCCTTCCCTTGGGCGTCATGTATGTTTCCTCTTTGACAAGCGCACTGATTTTTAATGTAGACAGATCTTTGTAATGACTGTACATTCAAAGTATCTGAGACGTTGTCTGTAGCCACATTGGCTCCCATCAGAGCTGTCCTTTCTCAAATTGGATTCCACAAACCAGCATAGAGTAGACAGGTTTTGATTGTTCCAGTCTCCCTCTTCTCTCTGAACACACCCTCGGGCTTAGACTCCCTCTGCTGTACGTGGTCTCCCTTCCCATGAGCGTTGCAGACAACACACGGGAGCACTTTCCGCCCTGCTCTGCGACAAGGTCCCCGCCCTTCTCCCCACTCCACTCCTGCCCTCCAGGCTGCCTGCTCCCCCGGGGACAAGCAGTCATGCCGCTGCTTGAATTGAGGCTGGTCCCCAGTCTTGAGTTCTCACTTGTCCTGACACAGGTGAGTGGTCCGGGTTTGTTCCCTAGTGGAAATCTAAGCACCTTCAAGTGTATTCCAAGCTTCTGTGCAAAAATTTTTTGGTGTGAAAGTAATTTTTTGGTTGCTTTCTCTTTCTCTGTGGTATGAGGCTTGGGTTTTGCTCGGTAACCTTCCAGATGACAGAAACTACACTACAAACAAGAAACGCAGTTGTCCCCTAAAGCAGGTGACAGAGCAACAGGAAGAACGTGCTGCTTTTTTCAAATGCATATTTTCCTTGTGAAATGTAGTTCTCTCTGTCCTAGTAGAATTTCTTTTTTGTTTCAGAGTTCTGTCTTAGATTTTGAGTGTTGGTCTGTGCTGTTTTCTTTTACTCTCCCCCTCGAGACCTCTTTAAACATCTTTCCCTCTGAAAAATGGGATCTTTCCACTTTGCCGTAATTCTCGTATACAGTTTACTTTCTGATAAAACGCAGAGAAACCTTGTCTGCTTTCTTCCAGCCTGATGCAGAGATGAGATGGTGAACCAGCGGCAGGGCAGCCCAGTCCTTCTGCAGCCCTGCAGCCCCCTGGCAGGATGGCCCTGAGAAAGACCCACAAACCTTTGTGCCCCTAGTGTTTTCACCTGTAAAATAGGGATCTGTAGTTTAGCATTTAAAGATTAGTCTCTCTCTTTATTTTAGCTTTATGTATGATTTTGTCCAGTTTTAATTATTCTACATCCTAGCAGGCTTAATAGATATTTTTCCTGCATTCCTTAAGAAATTACTGAGAACCTAAAAGAGCAAAGATGAGCAGGACCTGGCCCTGCACTGTGGGGTTTGAGGCAGCTGGGAAATTGCAAGTATCACTCAAGTGTGGAGGGAGACACCATGCTTTACATCTTTCCTTCAGTCCATACAGCAGACCTTAACATGATCTTTACAATCTTAGCATTAGTCTCAGGTTACAGGTGAGAATACTAAGGTCAGAGAAGATTTCTTTTTCTCTGTTTCACCATAAGTGCCAGACTGGGCGGGATTAAGAGCCAGCGTGTTTCTCCTCCATGCGTCATTACTTGGAAATAGACAGAAGTGGGAAATCAGGGGAAATGAAAAGTATTCTCTAAAACGAACAAGGAGCCCATTTCAAATCTTCCTGCTTCCTCAAATAAAGCAATGAAACCATCTTGGCTGGAGGCGAGCTCCCAGGTGATGGGCAGGCTTGTGTGTTTCTGTCCCAAGAAAGGAGCCTCTCCTTCCACTCACAGTGCTCTCTCCTGACCCTGCAGGCTCTGGCCCAGGCCATCAGAGAAGCCAGGGAGCAGCACCCCGACATGTCGGTCACGAGGGTGGTGGTGCACAAAGAAACCGAGTTGGAGGAGGGAGAAGAATAAGGTAAGAGCCTCGTCATCAGGGCCTTTCTCCTGACTGTTCTGTGTTCTGGAACCTGCCAAGGGGTGTGAAATGCACATCTCCATCACGATGCATTTCTGCGTTTCCTACAGTCCATTTGATCTTTCAGCCTTTATTATCCCCAAGTACCTCTGCTCAAGTGACCTGCCTATAATTAATTATAAACTCTGGACCGTAGGGCATCATGTGGTACTAATAACTGCCACGTATTGAGCTGTTAATAATCAACATTTACATGTTGCTTTACTATTTGCAGAGCACATTCATATAAGTTCTCTTAAAGTTCACAATGACCCTTTGAGGAAGGTGCTGCTGCCTTCATTTAGATGAGGGATTTTTGTTGCAGGGGCATGAAGGAGAGATTAGTTAAATCTTTTAAATGCAGACATTAGGAATTGCATGTCAGAGAAAGAACCATAAAGGAAAAGATTACTCTGATTATATGAAAATTTAAAATTTGAACCAAATTAACAAAAGCAAAAGTAAAGGGTAAGTGAAAAAGTTAATATGCCTGGCAGAGAAATAATTAATGTCCTGAATATATTAAGAATTCTTACATGTCATCAAAAAATGTAAACACTTAAGTAGAAAAATGAGCAGAGGATGAAGCAAGTAAACCGTGTAGAAACTAAGTGAATAATAAACAAAAAAATGTTCAGCTTCACTATTGCTTAAATCAATACAAATGAAAAATTCACTTCTAAATCTGGCTAAGTTTATGTTTTCAGCCAGGACTGGGGAGTCTGTTGGCGGAGTGGGAGGGAACACACTTGTGCTTCTGTATAAATCAGTAGTGGTTCCTGGAGGGCAGTTTGGCAAAAACCCACACTAAACATGCTTACCATTTAAACCACTGTGAGGAATTTATCTTAAATAATCAGAAATGTATACAAAGATTTACTTAAAAGAGTATCACACTTCTATATACGTTCATGAAAAATGTGAAATCATCTAAATGGCCAACAGGAGGGATTGGTTATGTATCTTGCTGCTTCTGTGTGATGACAAAATGCATCTCATCGTTAAAAGCTGGGTTAAAGAATTCTTAAAAAATGAGCCAGTGTTTGTAATTATGTATTAAGGTTTTAAAAGGCAGGTTTTAATCACACAGCATATATACTAAGATTGCTTTTTTGTTTTAAAAATGAGCATACGTTGATCAGCTGATAGATGGATACCCCCCTGGAATGGCTGGTCACAGAACATGCGTCTTCCACCTGGTGGCAAAGCCAAGTGCTTTCCCATCGCAGAGAGCGAGGGGTTCCACCATGGCACAGCCTCTCCTCTGGCTTATTAATTTTTACCAGTCTTGGTAAATATGAAACGACGTATAATTTTTGATTCCTGATAGATTCTGGGTTCTAATCCTCTGTCAATTTTATGTGTTGCAAATATCTTCAGGTTTGTGGTTTGTCTTTTATTATTAATATAGTTCAGTGTGTGAATATGTTGAACATAGTTTTTAATACGTTAATATAGTTCAGTTAGCAAGCTTCCTTTTATGGCTTATGTGCTTTCCATACCCATTAGAGATATTTTCAATGCAGAGATTTTAACGTTACCTTTCATGGATCAATCTTTAACCTATCAGAAAATGTTTTATGTGTGATTAGAAACAGTGATTAGTTTGTTTCCTGTGTAAGAAGCTCGCCTTCCAGCCCTGATTACTGAAGAGCCCATCCTTCACCGCTCTAATCTGCAGGTCAGATACCAAGTTTCTTACCTGCCTGCGTGTGTTTCTGAGCACACTCATTTCCATCAGTCCCTGTGTCCATCCCTGCTCCAGTGCCGCACTGCCTGAATTACTATAGCTTTACAATGAGAATCGCCAATTGTGTTCCTTTTCTTCAGGAGTGTCTTGGCTGTTCTGGGCTCCTTCTGTTCCATATAAATTTCAGAATCACATTGTTAGGTTCTTAGGTAAACCCTGTGGTATTTTAATTGGAATTACATCTGCTCTGCAGCTCAGTATGGTGAGAGTTACATCTTTATGATGTTGTCTTTTCTTCCACAAAGGTAAAATATCTCTCCATTTATATAAATCTTCTTTGATGTCTTTCAACAAAATTGTATTTTTTTTTTACCCAAAGAGGTTTTATAAATCTTTTCTAGCCGTTGCTGGTATAGGGAGATAAAGTTGACTTTTCAATATTGGTCTTATATCTAGCAGTCTTTTAATATTTTCAGCACGGGGTGTACAAAGGACTTACAAGCAAAAATAATTTGAAATTTTAGCACAAGCACAGTGTCTGCTTTCCTGCATAAATGTTCTGTGTTATATGCAAGGCTGAGAACACTCTTAGGTAGGAGTCAGAAGATCAGGTGCTAGGTTTTAATCTTGCCAGATCTCAAACTCTGTGACATTGGGCAAGTCGGTAGGGCTGGTACAGTCTACCTTTTCTGCTTATTATAAGGATATAATGTGATAATGCATGGGAAAATTGAATGTAATGCAAATGTAAAAATAATGGATATTTCTCCTCTAAATTCTGTGTGTCAGTTATTTAATCAGAAATATAAAACAAAATTTAGTGACCACTGTGAGCATAACCAACACTTCACCTGCGTTTGTGGCATTTTAATAAGTTTTAAAGTAAATGAGTTATATCAGTTATTCTTGGCACCTTATGTTCATTTTTTCAGTGGAAACACACACATGTAAACACACACAGACTTTGAAGTTTGCCTCAGAGGCCATCTTTTATAAGCAACCTTGTTAAACAGATTTAGGAAGTTAATGTGTAAACTCACAGATAAGATGAGCAAACTAAATTTGGAAAGATTCATTCATGCATTCAGAAAACATTTAATAAGTGCCCAAATGTGCTAGGGCAGGGCTAAGGCAGTGAGGAGTCAAGTTGGTAGAAGGTACAGTCCACCTGGGAAGGATCCACTTCAAGGGGAGGTGTAAATATTAGCAAATAAGCAAAATGTAATTGCAAGTCTGACAAGTGCTCTGAAGGGAATAACGTGAGATGAGAGAACAAAGCGGGGGCTTGAGTTGCTATCAGTTTCACCTGTTACTTGAGAAACAAGTTTGATTCGAAATTTGAAGGACAAGGGGGTGCTACCGTCTCCAGGCGTCTCCAAGCCATTTTAGCATCTCCACTCCTAACCGGCCGCCTCTTGTTCTTGGAAAAATTTTCTCTGCTGGTGACTGTCAGGGCTGGGAAGAATGTGTTTTTACTGCTCCAGCTACGCTCTGGTCACTCTGCCAGAATCCCACAGAGGTAGCATGTGGGTCCAAGCAGGACCCGGCACAGAGAGCAGGACCAGCACGGAATCCCAACATCAGAAAAGAAGGAGAAATAACTGTGTGGTGTATCTGCCTCGTCTCCGTTTCCAGAAGTGAAAAGCTCTCCTCCTGATCTGATCTGACCTCTTCCTTTGCAGTGGCTCTGCGCTTTTGATCAAGCATTGAAAGTAGGGGAGCGGGGAGCAAACAGAAAAGATAGTCGGAGAAGCACATGCCGAGGACCGAACTCCTGAAGCCGCCTCTCCCAGCCCCTCGCCCTGCTGGGCGCTGGCCAGCCGTGAGGCAGAGGAGCACTTTCCTAAACCTTGTCATGTTTTTACGTCATCTTAAGGACTGTTCCGTCCTGCCAGTTTATCCCAAGTGTGTATTTCTGAGCCCTCAAAGGGCCACAAAGTGTTACCAACCTTGTGACCACTAGAATGGTGTCCCTGCCCGTCCTGATGAGGAGGGGGACGGGCCCAGGCTCGGCGGGGTGGTCTGTGTGGCCTCAGAAAGAATGAGCCCCGGGAGGGGGAGCTTGTGACTGTGCCTCAGCTGATACCATAAGCTTCCGGAACCCAGACTTCAGCTGAGCCTCTCGGACTCCTGATGGAGGATAAAAAAGTGAACAGCGCCTCCTTTTCCTCTGAAAGCAGTGAGCGGCCGAAGGATGAGACGGTGTGGGAGCAGCTTCTCATCCATTCACTCATTTATTCTTTTTGTTATTGTTGTTCATTATACAGATTTTATGGGATGCTCTTTAGGGATCATCTCCTGTTTTACCATGGAGATTCAAATCAAACAGGGTCTGCACTCACACAGACAATAAAGCAACAGTAGCAGATTAGAGTCTGAAGTTTTATGGTAAGTTCTGAACCGTGCTGGGTGGAAACTGAAAGGTAAGGTCCCTGAATCAGAGAGGGGCAGTAGAGATGGCTGTGCGCTGGAGCTTCTGGAGCTTCGTGGTGAGTAGGAGTTAGCTCAATGACGAGGCAGGAGCTGGTATTGTGGTATTTAGGAAGGAGCAGCTGGCTTGCAGAGCACTTGATGAAGGTTGCAGAGAGGCAGAGGTCTGATCACAAAGAGTCTTAGGAGCCAAGCTGAAGAGGCTAAAGTCTATTTTGAAAAGCTGTGAGGTACTCCTCGTGTATATGAGATGGTAAAGGTTTGTGAGGTGGTGACTTCATGAGGCTATAGAAGTTCGTGAATTGGGAAGATGAAGGAGGAGGGGAGAACCCCAGATAACTCCCAGTCTTGGGGCTTGGGCAGATGGGTTGATGGTGGTACCTGTGATTTCAGTCATGGAATATGTGTTTGATTTTACATGTCATGTGCAGTATGGCCAGTCCTCTTGATTTAGCTGTCTTAAAGCAAAGATGTATATTTTGTTCTGTGGTGCTATAGGAGACCAGCTGTCATGGGAATTATAGTGGAAGTTTAGAAGTAAATGTGTAAGTCTCTTACACACACACAACATGGTTAATTAGAAATTTACCAGATAGTCTGAGTGTTAAAAGGAGGCATAGCATACCAGATTCCCTGGGGTCAAATCTACTTCATGGTCACACGATGTGGGCGGGTTATTTCACTCCTCTGTGCCTCAGTTCTGCCATCTGTAAACTGGAGTTGGTAACAGAACTTACACAGGGGTTTGTTAATAAGGCACATTGTAACATAGTCAGCCAAGAACCCTTTTAGCTCTGAAGAACGGGATAAAAATTAGGATTTTCTACCCCAGAGATGTTGA